CCAACACCCACCATTTGGAATCGTTGTCGGTGTCGACCAGACCGCAGTGTTGAGCCACTGTGGAGGCACGAGGGCGGGAGAGAGGAGGTGGAGGTTGGAAGGGTCCGCCCACGCCGACTCCCCCGCCTCGAGTGCAGGTGTCTTCCCACCAGTGGACCTCTGGCCTGTGTCAAGCGTGCGCCGTCGGCGTTGGTCGCGCGAGGAACGGCTGGGCCCGCCAGCGGAAACGATCGCGCGAAGAAAGGCCGTCCGTCTGCGCCGCGAGGGAACAGTCTCGGGCGGGTCGCTGCAGTCAGACAGCAGAGGCGCAGAGCGTTCTGCGTCCGAGGCGAGAGCTGGCGCTGAGCCACGGCGCAAGGCGTGGCGCAGCTGCGCGTGAGCTCCTCGCCCTTGTCCTCCTCCTCTTCCTCGTACGAGAGCCTCCGCCGCCCCGAGGACCAAGGGGCGGGGGGCCAAGAGAGGAAGGAGAGGAGTTCTGCAGCGGCACAAGAAAGGCAGGCGCCATCGGCAGCCGGACCTAATCGACGGGGCCCAGGAGCCAGCGCCGGAAACGCAGAGCCCGACGAGCCGCCGCAAGCGGGGCCAAGGGAGCCACCGCACCACGCAGGGCCCGAAGAGCCACTGCGAGCGGGGCCCCGCGGGCCCCCGCGGGAGATGGGGCCGGCAGGAGCCAGCCGCCCGCGCCGACTGCCGAGGAGCAGGCAGCAGACGGAGCAGGCGGGGTTCGAGGCCGCGCCTGGCAGAGGGCCACCAGGCCCTCCCGCCAGCAACGATCGGGGATATTCTGACCCGGGTCAATCCAGACCAGGGTCAGTCAGGACTTGCCGAACCCTGCAAGATCCTGCAAGATCCTGCACCCAAGCCCGGGCCAACGAAGGATTCTGCAGGATCCTGCAGGATCCTGCGCCCAAGCCCGGGTCAATACGACCCTGGCCCTGCAGGATCCTGCAAGCTCGGGGCGCTCTGGCCGACCCCCGCGTTTGCATTGACCCCCGTCCCAAGGCTCCCGAAACGACGGAAGCCTTCGGCGAAGGCCGCTGGGGATGGGGACCACGGAGGACCCGACGCAGTCCTGAGCGGGCCCACGATTGGCAACCCCCCTGGCGCGCGGGCCGAGGGCGGCGCGTCGGCCACCCAGGGCCGAAGCAGCTGCAGACGATCGCGGCGCGCGCGAGGGCGGGAGAGTAAGAGAGAGCATTGGTGATTTTCCTCTCAAGTGTTTGCAGATTGTCAGCCTTCTCGCCTTTTTCGGGTGTTTTCGGCGCTCCAAGATGACCCCAGAGGCCCCCAAGGCCTCCCCAAGACGGCCCCCCCAAGAGGGCCCCCAGACTATCCTAGGCCCCAAAACCTCCCCAGAGGCGCCCAAGATCGCCCAAGAGGCCCCCAGGAGGCCCCAAGAGAAGAGAGCCCAGGAGGCCTCCTGGAGGCCCCACGGGGCCCCAAAGAAGTCCAAAACGAGGCTCCAAGAGGCCCCCAAACGGCCCCAAAGAGGCCACGCACGCGAAGGCAAACGCCTGCGATGGCAGAGCACGGGCCGGCGTAGTGAGCTAACAAGGCCAACGAGACTGCAGCCAAGGAAAGGGTGTTAGCACCCTGTCTGACCTTGAGCGGGTCTTGAGGTAAACTTCTTCCTGCTAGGCTGTTATACAGGCGCGGTAGCGGGATTTGCCGCTGGCAGCAAAATACATTCCATCGCCCCTGGCCAGGCCATGGGCGGTGGATATGTATGAGAGAGCGTGATCCACCGCCGCTTTACCATGGAAAATGTCACCCCTCTTCCTCCGAACCCGGGGGTCCCCCCCCTTCCCCCGCAAAACCACCACCTAACACCCACCCCCTCCGGAAAACCGAGGGGGGTCACTACCAATTCGAACCCCCCTCCAGAAAACCGGGGGGGCATGGTTCGACCCCCCCCCCCTCGCCGCTGGCAAACGACTCCCGGGACCCCACCACGGTCCTCACCACGCTCTCACCACAGTCCCCACCGCCACCGTCCCCGCCGCTGTCCCACTGTCCCCACTGTTCCCACCACTGTCCCCACTGTCCCCACCAGTGGTCGCACTGTCTCCACTGTCTTCACCACTGTCCCCACCACGGTCCCACTGTCCCCACTGTCCCCACTGTCCCCACCACTGTCCCACTATCCCCAGTGTCCCCACCACTGTCCCACTGTCCCCATCGCTATCCCACTGAGCTGTCCCACTGTTCCCACAACTGTCCCACTGTCCCCACCACTGTCCCCACTGTACCACTGTCCTATTGTCCCACCACCGTCCTCACCACCGGCCTCAACACTGTCCCCATCACCACCGTCCCCTTACCACTGTCCCCACTGTCCCCACTGTCCCCACTGTCCCCACCACTGTCCCACTGTCCCCACCACCACCGTCCCCACCACTGTCCCACTTGTCCTCGCTGTCCCCACCAGTGCTCCCACCAGTGTCTCACTGTCCCAAATGTCCCCTCAACTGTCCCCGCCACGGTCCCACTCTCCCCATTGTCTCCACTGTCCCCACCACTGTCCCCCCTGTCACCACCAGTCCCACTGTCCCCACTGTTTCCACCGCTGTCCCATTGTGCTATCCCACTGTCCCCACTGTCCCCACTGTCCCCGCCACTGTCCCAGTGTCCCCACTGTCCCCACCACTCTCCCCACTGTACCACTGTCCCATTGTCCTACCACCGTCCTCACTACCGCCCTCACCACTGTCCCCACCACTACTTTCCCCACCACTGTCCCTCTGTCCCCACTGTCCCCGCCACTGTCCCACTTTCCCCTTACCACTGTCCCCACCAACACCACCGTCCCCACCACTGTCCCACTGTTTCCACTGTCCCCACCACTGTCCCACTGTCCCCACACCACTATCCCCACCACCACCGTCCCCACCACTGTCCCCACTGTCCCCACCACTGTCCCACTGTGCCGAGGAGCGGGAATCGTTTGCCGGCGGCGAGGAGGGGGGGAGGGGTGGGGGGATCGAACCGGTAGTGAGCCCCCCACTTTCTTTCATGATGGACCGGGGGGGAGGGTTCGAACCGGCAGTGGCCCCCCCGATTTTCGAGGGGGGGAGGGGACGGGTTGGAAACTCCCAGTGACCCCCGCGGTTTTTTTGCCAGCAGCGGCAGAACAGGCTCTTTCAGATGTATAGGTATCGTCGCTCGAGATTGGCGGACTACGGAGTGAAACTTCGCGGACAGCGACGACGTGCTCGCTTGCTGGTTACTCGAGGAGTGCTGCCTCACATCCGAGCGGCGCGGAACCGAGTTAGACGAGAGGCGCACCGTCAGCGACGTGAAGACCAGGGGTGGTGAAGCTCTTCCCCGATCTGCGCGGCAGCGACGCACGAGGACACAAGCGCCCACCGCACAAAAGAACGACACAATCACAGCCAGCAACAAGGAGGACCGACCGGAGGAGGTATGGCCCACCCAGGTCAAATCCGGTAGAGGGAAACAATTAGTAAACTCCCCCCCTGCCCCCCAAACTCAAAGTTGGCACGCGCGGGGGAGACTGCGGTCGAGGTGCAACTCATCAGAGCTACCGCCAACTTTGGAAATTGGGGGGAGGGGGGGGCGTTGACAGATGAATGTGGCATGAGTGTTCGCTATTTTTTTCGAGGCCTGGAGGAAAGACGCCAGCATGGAAAAAGACATCTCGTCGGAGATCCGGGAGGTGCACACCTGGCTGTGAAGCCCGCGCCGTCGGCTCTGCGCCTCGCATCCTCGGGCAGGCACGGTTGCAAAGAGCGTGTGGCCGAAGCCTGCTGGGGCACAGAGCCCAGATGCGGACGATGGGGGTAGCCCCAAGACTCGTTTCTCCTCCGCCTCATCCACCTCCTGCTCCTCTTAGTAGTAGAACTCCTCCTCCTCCTCCTCCTCCTCCTCCTCCTCCTCATCATCATCATCATCATCACCATCATCATCACCATCACCATCAACATCACCATGACCATCATCATCACCATCACCACCACATCATCATCATCATCATCATCATCATCATCATCATCATCATCATCATCATCTTCTTCATCAGCATCTTCTTCATCATCATCGTCATCATTAACTATCATCATCCTAATCCTCAGCAGCAGCATCAGCATCATCACCATCAGCAGAAGCATCATCATCATCATCATCATCATCATCAGCATCATAATCAGTACCAGCATCATCGTCATCATCAGCAGAATCAGCATCAGCATCATCATCAACATCAGCATCAGCATCACCGTCATCAGCATCGTTATCATCAGCATCATCAGCATCATCAGTATCATCAGCATCATCATCCTCATCATCATCATAATCATCACAATCATCATCATCATCCTCATCATCATCAGCAGCATCATCATCATCGTCAGCATCATCATCATCATCATCAGCATCATCATCAGCATCATCATCAACATCATCATCACCATCATCATCATCATCAGCATCAGCATCATCATCATCATCATCATCATCATCCTCATCATCTTCATCATCCTCATCATCATCATCATCAGCAGCATTGCCAACATCATCGTCATCGCCATCGTCATCGCCATCGTCATCGTCATCGTCATCATCAGCATCAACATCATCATCCTACTGGTCCTCCAGCTGATCTGGCGCAACTCCTTCCTGCACCATCTTCACATCCGCTGCCGCCTCCCTCCGCCCACCCTTCTCGTCGGTCTCCCATCCCCTCTTCCCTAAGCACCCCCTTCCACCCTTCCCCTCCCCGCGTCCACCCCAAGGGAGGGCGAGTCGCCAAGGGAGGGCGAGTCGCCAAGGGAGGAAAGGGCTCGTTGGGCCTCGCTTGAGGGGGGGGGGATCACTGGATGGGGGGGGCAGAAGAAGGGCCCTCGAGGCCCCGTGCATCTGTCGATGTCGCGCGTGCGTGCTTGGCTCGATGAGCCAGCATTAGGGGGCCACGTGCGAACCTTTCCACCTGCAACCGTCCTCCTCTCTCCTCCATTCCCCTGGCGCGGCGCGCGGGCGTCTTCCTCGAGGAACATCAGAGTATCTCTATCGCCGCTGTAGTTGTTCCTCATTGCGTCTGCCGTGTTGTCCACCGCGAAGACCGACAGGGCCGCGACCGCAGTGAGCATGAACGCCAGCAGCACGCGCCCCTCCCCTTCATGCTTTTCTCCGCGGTCTCCCTCGGCCTTCTCTTGCCTCTGCCCGCGCACTCGAGGTCCCCGCGGCCCTCGGAGCACAAATGCATCGCTCGCTCAGCCTGCCCGCCCCTTGGTCTGGACACGCCTCGCTGTTACACAAGCGAGACTGGTTGCAGAGGGCACCCGAGAGGAGACATGACTCTGCCGAGAGCATCCCTTACTTACCCCGGGCATGAAGAAAACACCTGATGCGATAGACAGGACACAGGGGCACCCTTGATGTTGCAGGGCCGTCCTTCTCGACAGACGCGATTGTGTGCCTCACTGCCGTTGCGGTATGCCAGTCCGCCCATACCTCGCTATATGGAAATGTGTACACAGATATATACATCTGAGAGAGAGCGCGCCCGTGGCGCACTCCCAAAGGACCTGCGCTGCCTGAACGCCCCCCCTCTCCTGTTTTTCCGCCCCTCGGAAGCTACCCCCCCTCCTCCCTGTCCAAAGGGGTGGAAGGGCTTAGCTACCCCCCACCCCTTGAACCTCCCCCGCCCGAAACACCCCCCTCCTTTCCCTCCGCCCCTCGAAAGCTCCCCACCCCGCGATGGAGACCGATTGCAACCACGTCGGACCGATCGTCGAGTACTTCGGACTGATCACAACCAGTGGTTGCATTGTTTTCGGGTCGCTTCAAAAAAGTGTCGATTCAGAGGTTAGATCAGAAGAGCACTTCTGGGTGCACGGAACTCCCTAAGTCGCCCAATGGGAATCTGATACAGCGGTTGCGATCGGTCCGATCACCGACGGCCGATCATGATCTCCGCTAAACACATGTGTTTGAGCTCGAACGTGGCCATGATCTGTATACGACTCCTATGTGTTTCGTATACGATCCCTATGCGATTCGTATACGATTCCTATGTGATTTGGTATACGGTTCCGATGTAATCCGTGTACGGTTCCAATAAGGAATTCGCCAGAATCCTAAGAGGGTCTCTTCGGGAACCTAGAGAATTCCTACGCATCATACCAATTCCTAGATTCCTGGGAGGGCCTCCTCGGGAACCCTGGGAATTCGTATGGATCCTGCCAAATTGCCAACAATTCCTGATCAGGATCCCTAAGGAAGGTTCAGAATTCCCATTCGCAGATTCCTGGGAGGAAGGCTTCCCAGGTCCCTGCCAAAGTCCAAGCGCCTCGGTCCAGCTGCCCTGCGTCCAGGACGGTGCCGTCCTTCCACAAGGACGGGAGAAGACTCCGAAGGAACTTTCCTGACTTTGCCTCTGGTGCCACAACTACTATAATAGCGCCGTTAAGGTTCCTGGAGCAGAAGCTGACCCAATGCAAATTGATGGCTGGGCAGTAGTTGCACCTCACGTATCTCACCAGGTCTACCAGCGCCTGCTTTGACAGCTCGCTGAACGCTCGCGATTGGAACTTGGGCAGCGCTGGTGGCGGACGTGCTGCCGACAGAGGCGGCGTCCAGGTTTCAGCAATGCTGCTTGGCAGAAGCGGGAGCGGAATCCAGGCCGATTGCCGCCTCGCTTTGGGACTTGCTGGCTCCTCTGCTGGTTGCGGCAGGTCCTGAGGACCAGCCCCGCTGAGGTGGCAGTCGTGACGCCGCTCTGGAGCCGGGGCCAGGCGGGAGCTGGGCTGGTGACTCTGCTTGCCGCTGGTCTGCAGGGCTGGCTCGCCGGATGCTTGATGCACTGCTCTTCGCTGTAGTCCTTCCTGCGGGAGAGCCAGTGGCCCGCCTCCTATCGCTGGATCCTGCCGCGCCCGGTGCTGGCTTGGTCGCCGTTGGTCTTAAAAGTGTGCAGCAGCTTCAAAGAGTCGTATCGTCGAAGTGCCAGGAATGGTGTTCTGTGTGCAGGACGCAGAGGTTTCGTTGAAGGAAGGAAGGAAGCGCTGCGGGAGATGTCCCGCGCCGGTGCCTAGGGAGGCGCCGGGCTCGCTAGCCTCGTGAAAAATTGATCTTGCCAAAAGTAACGTTGAAGTCCCAGAACTGGCTTTCTGGGGCGATTTAGAATTGTCTGGACGCATCGGTCAGGTTGATTCGCGGCGTTGGCGTCCCAGGGATTGTGCTCTGGCACGATTGACGATTCTCAAACGGTGGCTTCCGATGTGGCAACTCCCGCAATGGAGACACAATCTTGTAGGGACCTATGACGAGGGAACTTGGGGGAAGGGTCTGCTGCAACATCGTGGAACCGCCTTGGGTCTGCACTGCTCCTCCTCCTCCTCCTCCTCCTCCTCCTCCTCCTCCTCCTCCTCCTCCTCCTCCTCTTCCTCCTCCTCCTCCTCCCTCTCGCTCGATCTGCCCCCCTGGCCCCGCCAGAATCTCGTGGCTGAAGAGCGACTGCGACTCGCCATCCTTCATGTCCATCTCGGCGAACATCTGGGCGAGCGCCGCCCATCGGCCGCGGAGAGGGAAGGAGCGAGGCCGGGCACCGGGGGGGAGGGGCGGGGAGGCGAGAGGGAGCCGGCGGCGCGCACACAGGGGGGTGGGGGCAGAGGGGAGGGCTCCTCAGAAGCAGGGGTGCTTCTAAGAAGCCTTCCCCCCTCCCCCACAGCCCCTCTGCGCATGGCTGAGAGAGAGAGAGAGCGAGAGTGTGTGAGAGAGCGAGAGAGAGAGAGAGAGAAAACGAGAGAACGAGAAGGTGGCGAGGGGGGCCAGCAGACAGGCCCGCCACTCCCTCGGCCCCTCCCCCAAGGAAAAAGAGACGTGAGCGACGAAGAAACGCGGCTTCAACTGCGCCGACATTCGCGCGTACGCTTCTCGCGTAAGGTCGCGCGTGAGCTCCCTCGCTTCCAATGAGGCGTGCCGCGCCAACTGCCCGCATGGGCCACTGCGTAAGGTCCTTGTGCCATCTTTCGTGAGGCCCGTTTTTGTTCGTCGCTCACGTGTGCACGTGCACCGACCCTGGACTGGTCCGCCCTGGGGCCCAAGATCGGTGCACGCACATGCCCCTGCCGGCCCTGCCAGGGATGCATCTGGCACCGACCTCGCGCGGCCTGGCCAGGATCGGTGCACGGCGCACATTTAGCATCGCCTGCTCCCCCACCCTGCCGCAGCCACTGCTGCGGCTGGTGCCGCCAAACGTCGTTGCCATCTCGACTGTCGTGTCCTATCTCCTTCGGGACCTAGTCCACGCGGGCCTCACCACGTCTCCAAATCTTGACCCCTCCCGCGCCCCTTTACCCCTCTCTCGTCCCTAGCATCCCTCCTCCCTCCCTCCCTCCCAGCCGTTCTGGCTCAGGCCTCTTGGGGGCGCTGAGCTTGCAAGCGCGTGTTTCAGGGCGGCTCGTGCTTACGGGCCAGACTGTGAACAGCGCTCGGTCCACCTGCAGCTTCCTGCGGATTGGGACCCCGCCCGATGTGCTGCCAGGCGCCAAGACGCCCCCGTGAGGGTGCGAGTGCGGCTGCTGCAAGGGCTCCCAACTCCGCGCTTCGCGCTGCGCGAGAGCGCGAAGCGCGAACAACTTCGCGCTCTCGCGCCGCCCCCCCAAAGGGAGGAAAGGAGGACGAGGAGGAGGGGGCGAGGGAGCGAGGACCGCGACGCGCGAAGAACTCCGCGCCCCTCGCGGGAACCCTCGCTGCTGGGGCAGCTGGGCGCCGAGGATCAGACGACGAGGCCGCGGGACGGGCGCGCCGACCCGTGTGGTCCACGCAGCGAAGGTCTATGCAGCCGCCCTCGTCCCTGCTGGTGGGAACCCGCGCGCGCCGCGCGGAGCATGGGCCAAGGTAAGGAACCGAACTTTATACACCGATGCTTTTCTTCGGGTCCCGCACCGAGATTCGCACGAGAGAACGGATTCTGGTGTGTATACGGCATCCTGGCGTGTGCAGTGTCTGTTGTCTCCACGGGAAAACGGGGAAACAAGTATACACCACACCACCCCGACGTCGTCCCCGACCCCCCAAAAAAAGTCCTGGGATGGAAAAAACACCCGCCACTGATAATGTACATGCTCCAGTTTCCGAGCATTGGCCAAAGGGCCGCCGCCAGATCAGGGCCGGGTCATCAAGGAACTACAGGCGCAAGTTGCGAAGCTCATGGGAGGTACAGCTCCCTCCCCGCCTTGGCAGTCCGCTGGTGGGAAGGAGAAGCCAAAGGAGGGGACCACCACCAACACCGCCACCAAGAAACTGTCGTTCCAAGCGGTGGCGAGCTTCCTCAAGCAGCAGGGCATGGACGCCGCGGCTGTGGAGGCAGCAGCGGAAGAGAAGACGAGGACGACGTTGGCGAAGCATCCTCCATCAGCGCAGTCGGCGCGCCGGTGCGACAACCGCAGGAAGGTCCTCCAGAAGGCCGTCGCGCACACGGAGGCGATCGTCCACCAGCCGTCGGAGTTGCAAGTCGAGCTGCTCGAGGTCAAGGGCCACATCGAGGTGGTCAACCGGGAGCTGGTGGCAGCCGACGCATACCTGTACAAAGCCCATGTCGCCGATATCGATGACCCGCTCAAAGCCGTGTCAGCGGGGCTGGACCAGAATGTGCTGGAGTCGGCCGATGGCACGGCAGCCCTGGCGGTCCTGCCACGTTGCAGCTCGAGGCAGTCGAAGCGAAGAAGGAGCCTGCCGAGGAGGCCAATGCTGCTGCTGCTGCTGCTGCTGCTGCTGGGGCTGCCGGTCACGGTGGCCAGCGGAGCGCAAGACGTCCCCGTCGGTGGCCCAGACGCCGACGACATCGACATGGACCTGCTGGCTGGCGACGACTTCGAGCATCGGACAAAGGCCACCCAGGCCGCCGCTGGGGAGCTGCGAAAGGCCAAGGCAGGAGGAGTGGCCGAGGCCCAGGAGGCAGCCAAGAACAGTCTTGCCCAGGCTGCTGCAGCACTGGGTGTCACGCGGGCCCACTTGCTGCCGCCGCCGCCGTCAGTGAGATGGTCTCCAACAGTCAGTCGGCGCCGTCGCGTTCTGGCAGGACAACATCGAAGACTTGGACTGGCCAGAGCTGGTCTTCGCAGTGCCAGCGGTCAGGCCAGAGCGGTGCTTCGCCTCCCACAAGGAACGACCGCTGCTGGCTGCCACCCCGCGGGGGGGTAGACCCGACGACCTGGGCTCTGGCACATGTGCATACGCAGCATGGTCAGGGACTGGGCCATTCTTGTCGAGTGATGCTGCACTCACTGGGGGCCTTGATACGTCTCTGCGGACGGCACCGTCGGTAGGCTGCTCTCCAGCTGCTCGGGTTGGCCCGCGCCCGCTCCCTGAGGAGCAGTTGGAGGCAAGACCGCCGGTCGGAATCCCGCCGTGGGTGAATCGGTGAGCCGCCAGGAGGGACCGCCACACGACGATCGGGGACCTCTTGTTGCTCGGTTTCGAGGAACTGCTACGTTGGGGCCTGGTGAGCCCTGTGTCGGCAGTGCCAAGCGATGGCACCTGTGCAGTTTCACTCTCATCCCCACCGGTCGCTGGGCCAGGTGAGACGAACGCAGGTCAGGAGCATCCAGTTCGTGAAGCTGGAGTTATTCGCAAGAAGGCCAAGCCCACGGAGCTAATAAGTGTCTTCGGTGAACGCCAACAGCTGGGAGACCTTCACGAGCGTGATAGAATGGTGCGTGGATAAGCGGCCTGTATTTGCTTCAGGTAAGATGGGACGACCACTCGCTGTATGTGTGTAGGAGACGCGGCTGAAGAACCCTGTGCAGCTCCACCAGGCCTGCGGCTGGGCCAACGACCCCAAGAGGGACCTGAGCCTCCGAAAGGCCGACTCCACTGGACCTGGGGCCAGCATGAGCTCGGCGTTGGGCGTGATCCCATCCATCGCATCAGCCGCAGTCTCGCCCGATATGTTTGCAGAGAATCGGTCGAGGATCGAGGATTGTAGTGCGAAGGTTCCACGTGGGGCTGCCACAAGGGCTCGTGCTCACCTCGGTCTACCTCTTCACGAGCCACGGAGCCAAGGGTGAGAATGTAGCACTGCTTGAATTTGCGGGGGGAATTCTTTTACAGACTGCAGCTGGCATGGCTGATCCAAGCTGATCGGAATTTTACCCCGTCGCAGTTGGCTCGGAGTTGGCCTCTGTGGGCTGGCTGGACCAAGTCGGGGGGCCATCATTGCGACAGGACACCCTGCTTGCAGGAACACCGCTGGGTCAGGACAGGCTGCCGCTGACGAGTGGGGAGGAGAAGGGCAAGGAGTATAATGAGGAGACGATCAAGGAGGTGAGGAGCCTGGGGGAGTCACCAAGGAGGATAGAGAATTGGACTACTTGGTGTGTGCGCGTGGAGAGGTCCGAGGATTCCCAGCAGCTCCTGTTTGTTCCCGTATGCCGATTGGGTTGATCTTGGAAGGATTGGCCCCGACGAGGATCATCACTAAACAAAGTCACCGCAAAACGTTCCCGCTAGTGCCCTTCGCAGGCCCCAGGAGAGAGCCTGACTGAGGACTGGTCTTGGGATCCTGGAGAGCTGGGGGTGAGAACCTCGGCAGCAATATCAAGGAGCGTTTGGCGTTTTCGGAGGATGCCCTGGTCAATTATGTTGATGTTGAGCCTGCCAGCCGTGACGAATACTGTGCTAGACCTGTGGGTCCCACCACTTCAAAAATACCTCTGCGGACCGCACGGGCTTGTGATGCCAAGAGCGGTTCCCAAAGATACCTACAGCATGGATGTCGTTCTTTTCCCTGGCACGGAGATCCCTAGGTCTTGCTCAATATTTCCCTGACGCTGCGAGTCGGGCGAAGTTGCAGCAGTGAGCCTCATGGGCATGGCCACCATCATGAAGCACGACCCTGTCCATTCGGTGGACGAGAAATTCCTTCTCGGCTTGACTTCTCTTGTCCAGTTCGGTGCTGGAACGTCCTGCGAGGAACGAGGAGGTGAGGCAGGAGTACTCGATAATGGCTTTGGGAAAATGGAAAACATGGGCTACGGAGTCGGTTCAGAAAGGGGGAGACGGCGGCGCATGCGTGCACGTACGGACCGATCGCGCCAGTCCCCTGTCTGGATCTTTCTGTGAATGGGGAGTCGGCCGTCAAGGCCTTGATGGACCAGTGGCTGCTTTTATGGTACAGAACGAGCGTATAGGTGAGCAACCATCTACGGATGTTCGAGGCGACGTGTTGCCCAATATAGGAATGCACCAACTATACACCCACACCGATCCTGGCCAGGATAACCCCGGGCCCAGGATCGGTGTATACGCCCTCCTGCCTTGCGCAAGAAGGCATATACACCGATCCTGGGCCCAGGGTGGTCCTGGGCCAGGATCGGTGTTGGTGTATAGTTGGTGCCCTCCGACAATATCAAGCTGTTTAAACTGCTATATGCATGCAGGAGCTAGCCTCTCACCCGCGGCTCATCTTGGAGCTCCCAGAGGGTACCACTTGAGGGTGTTAGAAAGCCCTGCTGTGCTCTCGGATCTTCTCACAAACGCAGCTTTCTTGG